AAAAATATTTATTTTAACACAGTTGTGTTTCCAAACCCTATTCGAATTGTTGCGGACCAATACTCATGAGTTAGTATTGATAGGTCATTTAATTTTGTATACTGAGACAAAAGATATTAGTYTAGTTATAATGTGCTATGTTCTATAATAATAGTAAACTATTCAGTATAATATTATACAAAAAGATTTGTCTAAGTCAAGTAGTTTATTTTTTAGAATTTGTTTTAAATTCAATATTTTTTTGGTTAAATTAATTTGGAATGGAAAAACTTTTTTAAAAATATGATTTTTGAGAATTTGCTAATATGAGTTTATCTTTTAGATTATTTACTTATAAATTTAAGAAATTAACAATTTCTTGTCATATACCTTCGTTTAATCAGCACAATTTTTTTCCAGCTCTTTCTAAGACACCTTGTATAATATTATATTGCAATTTAAAAATATATTTGTTTATTAAATATATAAAATAAGTCTTATCACATTGTAACTTATAGGTGAAAAATCCTTGACCAGATTCAGGTGATATTTAACCAACTAGGTTAGACATAGTAGGTACGTAAACGTAGCGAGCTTGTATTATATAATAATAATAATGTTGTGGATATTAAATAATGTTATATTACTATATTACTACCTATATATGTTATATTACTATTTAACAATAGTAAAATATTATTCTATTCGCTTTATTATTGAAGAAAATAATTTAAGTAAAATATTAAAATGAATTTATGATGTCTACCAATAACTTGAAAAATTAAAAATTAATAATATAAAATATGCAGACATTGATATTTTATCAAATATATTTATTATTATTAGATTATCATATTTTGAATATTTAATGAAAAATAAATCAATTAATTGGATAAAAATAATGAATATTTACAATATTATTTTGGATGTCATTTTTGAATGGCATAAAAATAATTTATATTTGGCAAATATAATACATAAGGTATACATAAGGGATGAAAAGAATATTAAGACATTTTTCAATCCACAAAAATAACTTTAAAATATATTCTACATTAATCTAATGTGTATATTTATAGTATTATTCTTAGATTTAAAAGAACAAGCCTGTACATTAATCCTGAAATGTAAAATTCAAACTATGAACAATATGATCTTAAAATCGCTTAAGATATTGAACTTAAACAATATTTATTTTATTTAAATATATATATTTTTCAWTTATTATATTTTAAAATGTGCCAACATATTACATGTTATTACAAGTTTATTAATACAGTTAAGAATTTGAAATTAAATATGGTATGATTTGATCAGAATTTGATGCGTATGTTAATTTATTAAGTAGTGTGAGTGATGGGGAGTGGGATTTTGTTTATTCATGTTTGTTCATTTTAGAGCAGCTAGGAGGAGGTTTAGGACTAATTTTAACTCTTTAAGGGAATTGTTAACGATTTTCAGAGGTTGATCGGGTGGTGGAGTGTTCGCTGTGTCTTCGGCATACGAGCGCTTTTCTTTTGGGTTTGAGCTTAGCGCGTCATGTCCTYTTTTGTGAGGTGCAGGTGATACAGCATGTGTTTGGATGTGTTGACGAACTGTTTCTGTCGTTCTGGTTTTGGATTTGATGCGGCTTAATATTTTTTTAAAGGTTTGACATCCTTTATAATTGGCAATGTGGTTTTCCCACAGTTTGCACATTTTGCTAGTTCTTCCAGATTTTTTGTGAAATTTTCGGTGTAGTGTTCAGCTTCACTTTTTTAGCTTCACGGTTTGTGGAAACAGTAGTTGCRTGTGTGTCCATACTTTTGACAGTGATGGCATTGGGGAGGGCCAAGTTGTTTCTATGTGTATTTGAATTTTACAATTGAGTTTAATATTTTGATGAATCTAAATATTTGACGATTATGGGTGTTGCGAACTAGCTAATGTTAAATAGTGGAAGTGGCAATTTGGTTGTACGGTGTGTTATATTTGTGATGCTGATTGCTTTATACCCAAGGTCACTTAGTCAGTTTTCGATATCTATGGTAGGAGCCGTAGATATGGTGGTGGTGGCGTAGTACGACACGGAATGGTTGGGAGGAACTGGGATGATAAGAGTTGGTAATCGTGATCGGCGTCTATTAGATATGACTTAATAGCCATGAAGTTGACCCGTGTGTTTGGTCGTATGATTATATTAGATCTGATCGCTTTACATGTGAACTACTYTGGGTCAACCATGCAAGTTAGGTCTTTGTTTAATGTACTAAAATCGGTTAAATTTGTCATAGACGATATTCTAAGATATATGAGTTTGAAACGATAAATATATACATAAAGCGTATTTTCACCCAAAATATAATATAATATTTACAATACTGAATCTTGGATGAACGCAATATATAAATGTCGATCAACACACCTGCATCTATTACACAAGGCTGCTAACTCCATTTTGTCTTGATTAATACATTTTCAAATGTTGATTTATGTAATTTTTAAGCATATTTAACGACCATATTTTAAATTATTTATATTTTTATACCATATTTTAAGACATGGCACATGGCGAGATAAGCTTTTTTTAAAAATGAGAAGCAACCTTTTAATATTCTAAGTTATTTTTATGAAAATGTTTATATTTCTAGGGTTATTACAGTTTTTATATCAAGGATAATAATTTCCATAAATACRGTATCACAAATACATAAAAGAGTTCTAAAATTTAACCTAGTAAGCATGACTTATCATATTTGGACAATGTTAACAAATTACTCTTATTTTCAAATAAACGTAGCCCACATACCTTCCAAACCTATTAAACTATTATCATAGACCAATGTTAACCTTAATATATACTAAAACTTAAATAACTCAAAAACAATTCGTTAATATTGTGATTTTTACAAATTAACATTTTAGAAAAGGTCATCTCTAATTTTAAAAAAAGAAGTTGGTATTGCTCTGAGACATTGTTTTATTGCGAAAAAAAATCTTAGTAATTGAAAATATGGATCTTAAATATACTTAAGAAATTCAAAAAATGAGGATTTGAACAATTAATTGTTAAAGGAAAAGGGAAAATGTGTGATGACTGATGAGCAATGAGCATGCTTGGTGAAATTTCCAGTTTATTATTATTAGATACATAATATATGCAATAATAATCGTATTATAATATATAATATATTATGTAGGACGTAGAGGTAATGAATCGATAATATTGCTTAAAGAACGTACTATCTAATATCTTTATCAAATTTTAGCCACCAATTCAATAGCCACTCCACCATTTTCTCTCAAAACTAAGAAATAAAGTAGAATCTAAACTCAATACTATATAAGTCCTACCTTTATGTTTTTTTATCATCCAACCTATATTTTATATGGTACTGAATCAAAAAATAAACAAAATCAGACTTTACGAAAACTAAACCCATAATTTCACGGATGCTTGAACGATAATTCGGAGCACGCAGTTCATATTATACAGATTATGTATACGTCCTTTGAAGAATAATTTCTTTTATAGCATACCAACTTACTGTGTAAAAATAGTTTTTAGTAATTAAAAAAATATTAAAAATAAAAATCATCATGCAATAAAATATATTTGTAAACAGTTATTATACATGTTTCTTTGAGCTCTCGTTCTAAGTATAAATTTCAAAATTATTTATTTTAAATAGCCYGTTCAGTCGCTTTTAACAATTTATAAGTCTAATTATAAACAAATTTCGAATAATTTGTGATCACTAATTTTTAARCCAAGAGTATTTATATAGCCATCTCCTTCATCACAGCGTGATCTGAATGTCAGCATTTTAATATTGTTAATAACTTTTATTTATAATTTAGATGATAACCATATTGTTGTCCAGAAGTTGAAAGCCATCTTTTGAATAATATTATGGACGGCGGTAGCAGTGTCGTTAACGACACGTCTAACAGCACGATACCCGTCGACGAATACGACTACTCGGAGCGACCGGAAACGTACATCGTTCCAGTACTGTTCGCGTTCATATTTTTCGTGGGAACGGTAGGAAACGGATCTCTAGTGTTAATATTCATCCGGCACAGGCATATGATCAACGTGCCRAACATATACATTCTCAGTCTGGCACTGGGCGATCTGCTAGTCTTGTTGAGCTGCATACCGTTCACGTCCACTGTATACACGGTATGTTCATTCATTCATTTTAACATAATAATAATATTATGATAACATTTTTTTTTTATGTCATTAAAAGTTATGTATCATGCATATTTTATTATTATATCAAGTTTGAACGCAGATTATCAGTATAAACATTTGATTAATGTGAAGTATACTTTTTATACTATCAATAGCGATAGCAGTAACTATTATGTATAACATAATAAACATATTTTTAATAAACAATAATAAACAACCTTTTTTTTATATTGTGGCATTGTGTCAAAAAATAAGTACAAAATTGAGAATGTGCCTTAAATTCCTTTAATGCTATTATTATTTACTTTGCAATTATAAAATTGTGTATTCATATATTTATATAAAATTAAAATTTTTGATTTTTTTAATGTACCTATAATATCGTTATGACAGTTTAATTGCAGGGATTTTTTTTTTTGTAATGATAATGTTGAAATTTTTGGATGAATATTGTCTCTTTGTAATTTGTTTGAAGTTTAGTTAAAGATATAAGTATTACATTTTTAAAATGAGAATTTGTTAGTATAGTTCTATATTGTTTATTTTTGATAAAAGTCATTCGAGAAAAACTTTTTTCCCTTGCATATTGTATCGAATCTACAAACCAATTTTTACGCTAGACTATGATGTAGTTCTAGAAAATGTTCCTCTAGTACACATTTCCAAAATTTGATAATTTGAGACAGCTCAGATATTTGCATTTTAAAACTGTTGAATTTTGAAGTTCAATAATTTTCAATTTCATATTGTGATTATATTTTTGGACTGCAATTATTGCTGAGTTACATACTTATAATATCAGCCTAACTTTTTCCATTCTACACATAATATTGTTTTCTGTCCATTAAAAATATCATTTGTATAGCTTCGTTTTACCCCTTAATCCGGTACCTGGTTTATCAGATGCAATGTTTACGATCGATCACACACACACACACACACACACAC